GTTTATCGGTTCTGAGGGCTGCGGTGTAAGCATGGGGGGCAAGGCTCTTAGAGTTTGGATCCTAAATATCTCTCTTGAAGCCTCATGATAAAGGTTACAGCCTGTTATGGAGATGGAAGGCATAGGAGGAGGTCGACCTCGTTCTGGAAGTTAACTCATGGAAGGCATGCTGCTACCGCGGGCATTGGAACTACAGATCTTCCCATTTTGCTTCCTTGCTGCCATGGTTTGGGCAGCTCGAATCTGTCCCCTGCACCTAAATACTCCGCCTCACCACGGGCTCAGCTGTGGGGCCAGCTGACCACAGACTAAAACTTAGAGCCAAAGAAAACTTCTCCTCAAGGTTGGGTTTTCTCACATGTTTGTCTCCCACTGACAGAAAGCCGGCCAAGTAGCAAAGGGGTCATTTTAAAACCGGCCACCCTCAGCTGGCTCACATTTTAGTAATTTGTGTTTTAAGCAGAGCCACACACTAGAAACAACCCGCAAGCTTGAATACAGTGTATGGCTTGCCTATTGATCTGATCCCCCGCAGTTTGGGACCTGACTTTGGACATTTGGGGCTACTGATAACCATCATCTGAGTAGCGGGGAACTTAGGCCATGTCCTGCCCTGGTTCCACAAGCAAAGGAGACTCGCGGTGAGAAGAGTGAGTTTTGAGGAAAAGGCTCCTCAGAAACTAGTAGTTGATTTCAGAGGGAAATGTGTATCGTCAGGGTGTCTAGAGGCTTGGGACATTAAAGCCAAGGTTGTTCTGATGGTCCAGGCCATCCTTGCTTCTCTGACTCTAAAACCAGCATTAGGTTCCTAGGATGGCCTCAGCGGAGCTCGGCAGGCAGGAAAGCCTGAGCCATGGGCACTACCTCAGTACCAAGTACTGGAGGCTACTTGTCGTAGATAATGTGCCAAGAGCGTTGGGTTTTTTCTGTGGTAACCCTCCATGGATTTTGGATGGCCACGTTTTCCACTTATTTTGACATAAAAAAATCCTTAAGGAAAATATAAGATATTTGAAGTAAGCTGAGCTGTGTCCTAAGTACATGGGTTCAAGTTGCCCCAAAGAAAATGTATAAATGGTTTTGTGAAGTTTATTTTATTATAGAATAAAATGAAAACATAAATCAAGGCATTTTTAGAATCGTTTGGTGGGAGCTCAGATTCGACCGCTCACAGCAGAGCAGGAAGTCTCTCAGAGTCTGTCTGACGCTTTTAGCTTCGAACTGGTAGAACATAGTGGTCTGCTGAATGAATAGATTCCAGAAGGCCTCTCCTGCTGGTAGCTAGGGTATCGGGTAAGACACAGGTGAGCAAGAGAACCAAAGGTGTGGGCTGAAATTTAACTTCAGATCTGCAACATTCCAGCTCTTTACAGCTGCACGATGTTTTGATTGCATTCTGACGATAAAGTTGGTTTTGAGTCAGAGGGCAGAGCTAGCCACTAGCTGGCCAAAAAACCATAGATGTTCCGGAGGACTGAAGAATGAGGCAGGGCTTAGAGGGATCTGGGCCCTTTTTGAGGAAGGCACAAAGGAGGTAGGAGGTCACTGGTAGCTTCTCCACAGCTTCTTTGATCATTCAGGTTCTTACCCCAATATCTGACTCCCGATTTTTTTATTGATAAAGAATAATTAGATAAACACTTTACAATCCAGAAGTTCTAGTCATCCCGTCAGCATTGTAGAGTCTTTAACAAATACACTCACCGAAGCACCGAGCATCACAACGTCTGCATATAAATTTGGACTGGGGTACAATTTGGCCCAGAGGTAGAGCTACCCATGACGTGATCTCTTTGGTTCGTTTTGCAGGTTTTGTACAGACATTTGACCTCTTTGTCCCCATGAATCTGGACTTCCTGGGTCCTATGGGGTTGGACAAGACCACACACATAGCCGGCTTGGCGCAGTGGTGAAGGCTTCAGTCAGCAGCACCTGGCATATTTGTTGGTGGTAACCAGAGCTGCAGGACTGAAATCCCAGATGAGGGATTGTACCAGTGCTTCTCAACCTGTGGGTCATGACCCCTGGGGTTGTATATCAGATATTCATATTATGATTCAGAGTAGTAGCAAAACTACAGTTATGAAGCAGCAAGGACATAATCATATGGTTGAGGGTTACCACAGCATGAGGAACTGTATTAAGGGTCACAGCATCAGGAAGGTTGAGAACCACCGCCTTGGATGCTCAGCTGGCTATCCAGGGGGTCTGTGTGGTGTATTTTATAGTGTTCTCTGTCACCTTGGGCCAAAGCTTGACTTGACCAAAGAAACCTGTTTCTTTGTGTCAGAGACAGTGGCTCTTTCTGTAGACTGAGCTCCTGGAAAAACCCAGAAGATATTGGGAGTTAGCACACAGTGCTTACGTTGGAAAACAGTGGTGCTTCTCTTCCATCCGTTGTAAAGTGGGGCTGATACCATGGGGCCTGGCTGAGACAGTGGCTGTGAAAACCAGAGGCCCATGAAACAAGGCACTAGCCTGAGTTGTATTTGGGGACATCATCAAGGTGTACTTTGCCTGTACGGCCAGCAGGTGGTGACATTGGCCACATATTGAACCTCAAGGTTCTCATCACAGTTGTATTCAGTGTCCACTCTGGTTCCCTGTGAGGTGTAGGTTTCCATTAACAGTGTGAGCCAGCTGAATGACTGGGCTTGTCTGTAGATTGCTGTAGCTTCTTGGTCGTTTGCTTTTGTTCTGATCCTGTCACTCCTTGCTGAGGGCTGAGCTGCCAGCTACCTAGCGCAAGGACATCGTGCACCCGGGTGGGTTTGGACTGCAGTTCAGGCTGGTCACTGAAAGCGGATGAGTTTCAGGAGGCAGCCTGTTCGATTGCTGCTTTCCTGCCGTGCTAGCCTGGCTTCATGCTGAGGGGACTGCACAGCAAAATGAGGTCTGTTTGACCTTCAAGCCTGAAGGGTCAGTGTTGCCTCAGAATCAGATGCTGTGGCCCACAGAGCATCTTGAAAGGATGGAGCAAAGTGGTCCTAAGTAAAAGGTCTGAAAGTTTTTATTTGTTTGGTTTTCGTTTCATGTTGTGTAGCTCAGGCTGGCCACAAACTCCCTATACAGCTGAAGACAACCATCAACTTTGGGTCCTCCTCCCTTCCAGCCTCCTTTGTGTGTCAAGTAGCTAAATTCCTGAAGAGTCGAGTGATGGTCATTTCATATGCTGCTCTTTCTCTTGCCAATGGGAGGACATGGGATGGACAGTCTGCTGGCCCAGCTATGTAAAGATCAAGTGGAGAGGTCACACCAGCAGAAGTGCTAGGGATTTGTAAAGCATAATGATTTGAGTGTGTGTGTGTGAGTGTGTGTGTGTGTGTGTGTGTGTGTTGAACTGAAGAATTTAAGTAACTTAAGTGTATTGAACAAATAAATGTTGTTGATTTGAAATACCAATGTTATCAGTTAATTTTTTTTACCTATAGTGTTTAGTTGATGTGAAATACAAAACCTGTTGTAATTTCAGTAATGTACCACAAGGTGGCACCAATGTCAACTGTCTTAGCTACCAGGAAGTGAAAGTCGGCCTGCTTTTATATAGCAAAATCTCACAAATTCTTTATTTTGGAACTTTCTTTTCTGGAGTTAGAAGGTTCTGTTTTACTTTATAGAAATTTGACTTGGTGACAATATGTTTGTACCTTTTCATTTCATGAAGTGCTGGGGTTGTTTTCCATGAGGTTTCTCCTAAAGCCCCACATTATACCCAGCCATTGACCTGTTTAAATCCTAGTTCCTATGGGGGTCCACACAGGAAAAACTTCCTAATGATAATGTTTAGGTTTTTTTAAAAAAAAAAAATGTTTGTGTGTTTATTATGTATGCAGTATTGTGCCTGCACACCAGAAGAGGGCACCAGATCTCATTACAGATGGTTGTGAGCCACATGTTACTGCTTGTAATTGAACTCGGGAAGAGCAGCCGGTGCTCTTAACCTCTGAGCCATCTCTCCATCCCCATGTTACTTGATTTTTTTTTTTATGTGAAGACTTTACTGTTTGTCTTTGTATTTGTTCCTGTTTGTTTCCCAGACTTCAGATTAGATCAACTCAGTTTTTTTTTTAATTTATCTTTATGTGCATTGGTGTTTTGCCTGCACGTGTGTCTGTATACCACATATGTCCTCAGAGGTCAAAAGAAGGTGTCGGGTCTCCTGGAGCTGGAGTTGCAGACGGTTGTGAGCCACCATGTGGTTGCTGGGAACCCTCTTAATTGTTCTACCATCTCTTCAATCCTAGATCAACTTTTAATTAACTTTCTCTGTTTTTTCTAAGAGCGTGGGTTTCTAGATCATCAGGAAACTGAAATAATGCTTGACCTTAATTATAACTGCTTTGAATCACTTATTTTTGTGCACATCTGAACTAGGCAGTGTGTGAGCTACTGTCTGCTGTGTACGTGTGCACATGAACGGCAGTCTGACTCGGTAAGGACACACACGAGCGAGGGCTTGTCATGTCGCTCACCTCTTGCCCGCATTCCCTCCCCGTTCTGCCACCGTGGTGGCACAGAAAGAAAACGTATTCTTTTATTTATATGGTGGTGTAGTAAAAAGGAACCATTACCAAATAAGCAGACCTAAGTTTTTGTATCACGCTTTCTTTACACATTAGTAAATGTGGTAAAGAAACAACCTTGGTCAGAAAGAACTTTCCCCAACAACGTTTGGGCTCAATTTCTAACCTAAAAGCAACTTTATTGGTAATTCAGTTGGGAGTAAGTATGACGCGGTTGAGAATAGAGGCCTAAGTCTGGCTATTTCTCAAATCTAGAAGACCATCAGGTTTTGTTGTTTTGCTTGAGGTTTTCTGTTTTGATTCTTTATTTCTCTTTAGTAGAGGGCTTTTAAATGTTTACTGTTCGTCAGTCATTTTCAGAACTGCTTTCTTTTGGGGTTTGGTAGGAGTGGAAAAGGGCCTGTGAATATGGCTAAATATAGTTCCTTAAAATGAAGCAGATATGACAACCTACTTTCCTTCTCTTTTCTCCCTTAGATTGGAATAATTGGTGGAACAGGCTTGGATGATCCAGAAATTTTAGAAGGAAGGACTGAAAAATATGTGGATACTCCATTTGGCAAGGTCAGTGTCCAGCCGACCAAGTGTTGGCTTTGGCATGGCTTGTTACTCTCTTGGTTTGTTTTTTTGTTTGTTTGGTTTTTTTTTTGGTTTTTTTTTTTTTTTTTTTTTTGTCAAGAACAGTTGGTTTTGTGTGGACAAACCTAAAGACTGGCCCAGGCAGAGGGCCAGCGGTGCTGCCGTGGGGTTCACTTGCTGAGTTGACCAGAAGGGTGCCCGAGGCTGCTGTTTTGATGACACGGCTTTCGCACACACCGGACGGCATCTCGGGTTTGCATTGCTAGAAGTCAAGATGATCATTTTAAATTCAAATATGTGTGTAATTTAGAGCCCTGGTCACATCATGGTGACTTAGCCCAGGCTAGTGGCTGGTAGCATAAGGACTCTGTATGAGGTGACATTTTCTGACCCGGATGAGTCCTGGGATCAGGGACACATGTTAGGATTGGGAAAACATGGATTCTAGGGAAGGCTCTTATTTTTCGGCCCGGGCTGGGTGAGTTATCTACATTCGTAACCCCACATTGCCTCTTCCAAACACTGGCTGGCGTTTGTCCCTCTGAGAAGAACTTGCATCCCTGCCCAAGCCTCCTTTTCAGCTAAGTTCTTAGCCTGACCTGGGGTTTTCCAAGTCCTTTCCCACCTCACCCTTAGCCTCTCGGGCTTCCTTAATAATGTTCGCTCTGGGGTTTTCCCTGTGATTTCACCTCATCCCCGTGGTCATCTTGAAGCCTGGTTACCATAAGCAGGTGGTTCCATCACTCAGCTCTTGGTGCCCCACAGCCCTCTCCTCTCCTTTCAGCTTTTGACTCATAAATTTCCGAAACCTTCCAAATACCCCCTGACATGTGTCCGTTTGATCGGTCCCCCATCAGAGGGTCCCGGAACACTTGCGGAGTCCATGCTGGCGGAGAGCTCGGTCGCTACTTCTGGGTGATAATGGTGATGAGTAAATCCTAAACTCCTTCCCTAAACTGTATCTTCAAACGCTAGATTTCCACCAGTTTGTTGTGGTTTAACGAACTGATTATACATGGTTTAAAAATACTAAACTGTGGCTGTTTATTTTTTATTGCACGAAGCCGTCCGACGCCTTAATTCTGGGGAAGATAAAGAACGTTGATTGTGTACTTCTCGCAAGGTAATATTTTTTAAGTTTTGTTGTTGTTGTTTAATATTACTACCACAGGAGAATTTAAACTTAAAGTCCAGAAATAGGTACTGATGTAGGTGTGAGATAGGTGCCCGTAGACTCAGAATATAGCAGTCCCTTTATTTACTGAGACGGCTCTGAACCAAGCTTGGATTATAAATATTTAGGAGATCAAGGATCTCTTTCCTCACTTGTGTGTGGAAAATGGATCAGTTGTCTGACACAGAAGCTCCAGTATTTTCTTTGTTAATTTTCTTTCTTCCGATTATCAGATAAATCAGATGTTTTCTTCATGACGAAGCCTTGTCCAGTAGCAGTTATTTTTCAGGGAGGAGGTCTCGGTCCCTGAACTAACCCGAATATCTCTTGTGCTCATACCCTTGTTCCCTAAACAGGGTTAGTGGCGTCAGCTGCTGCATAGAAAGCAGCCTAGTTAGAAAATCCCCTGACCACAAGTGGCTACCACTGCAGTTAATGCAACAGCAAGCAGGTTCTCCTGCCAGCAAGGAGCTACCGAGTCACAAGAGGGACTTCTAAAAGCCGTACATAGTCTAGTGTTGGGGAACAAGTCTCAGGCTGACCCACACGGGATATGTGGATTATATAGGACATGAAAGGCGGGCCTAACAAAGTTTTGTCCGCCACAGTCATGTGGAAAATTGGTTCTTGGGAGCCAGCAAAACTAAAATGTAGTTTTAAGCAGTCCTTTCTACAAGTCTCCTTCCTTGGCCTGTAGTCATTGCTAGAGAAATGCCTGGTATTTTGTTTGGTTGGTTGGTTGGTGTTTGTTTTTTTCAAGCTTGGGGGAAAAAACAATTGTTTAAATTACACAGATGTTTAATTTCTTCTGGAAAACCTGCTGAGTGCTTTAGAGGCCAGTCCCAGGAAAATACATGCATCTCTGTATGGTAAGGGCTTCTGTTCTCTCAGAGGCTGTCTGTGAACTCAGGGTGGAAACCTTTAGTATCTGTGGGTCACAGTTTGCTATCAAGTGAAGACATCACAGATTCTTTTTAAACACAAACAGGATGATAGTGAGGTCGCACTTAACAGCTCTGAGGAGCAGGTCGATACTTCATTAGGTTTTACTCATGAGGGGGAAATCCGAGCTCTCAGTGGGTTGGGTAACTTCAGGGGAGGTATCTAAGAGAGCTTTGAACCCAAACGGCCACACTCCAAAGCCCAAAGTCTTTATTTCAATGCTTGGAGATATTACCACAAAATAAGGCTGTGTGACATCGCCGGCGGCACGTTTCTGCTTTATCGGAGGTCAATGAATGAACTCTCGACCGAGGCAACTCTGTGCTAGAACATCACGTGTCCTAGTTTTTCAGGGGGCCCAGATAGTTGTACGCTGCTCCGTGAAATGTTGCCTATAAGAACATAAGGAAGCCATGTGACCAATGTGAATTTTAAAATTAATTTAGAAATTAAACACTTTACAACTGTTGACTGGAGTTCCTCCCCACGGGTGTGGATACACAGGTTCAAGCTTATGTGTTTCAAGTTAATTTTAGCCAAATGCCCATGTTTTTCCAACAGAGTAAACTCCTTACATGATGGGTGCTCCTGAGGAAGACACACAAGGACTTACTTCATCCTTGGGGCAAATTATAGTTGTAGAGATGGGCACCCAATAGACGCAGACAGAGTAAACATGAGTGTGGTTGTTAGGTATGGCATAAATGCAGTGACCAAGGTGGATGCTTTTTGACATTGGAGCTAAGACCGGAAGAAGTCAAGGGCTTGAAGGCCAGGGAGGAAGACCTAAATAAATAGAAAATGGTTACTTGCAGCTCTGGAAGCTAGATCTCTGAGATCAAGGATTTGGTTCCCTGGGAGTTGTGGGAGATCTCATAGCCCCTTTTGATGTGTTTAGAAATAATTCTTCATGGGGCTTGTCTAGGTGTGATGTGCATACCATCTTCATGAAGTAGCATTTAACCTATAAACCCATTGAAAAAGTAATGCCTATTTGATTTGTAGCTATAAAAAAGATGTCAGGTTATTATGTTTGGAAAACTAATGCACTAACTTTAAGGAAATTGAAAGTTGAGGTTAATAATAGTCTTAACAGAAGAAATGCTTTATGTTATACTATAACTTTGAGTACATCTTTGAGAAACGTGTTTAAAACATTTTTTGCATAAACATATAATCTAGAGAAAGAGTCTAAAGAACATTTGAGTAAAATAGTGGTTCCCTTCTCTCCCCCTCCCCTTTTTTTGTTGGTCTTTTTGTTTTGTTGTTTTGCGAGACAGTTTCCCTGTGCGTCTCTGGCTGGCCTTGAACTCAGAAATATCTACTTTCTACCTCTAAAGGCATGACTTCCTAGAACTAGGATTAAAGGTGTAGGCCACCACCAGCTGTATTTATTTCTGCATTGATTTTGTGTAGCCCAGGTTAGTCTTGTAATAACAGAGATCCATCTGCTGCTGTCTCCCAAATCCTGGGTTTAAAGGTGTGTGCCATCACTGCTTGACCTCTAGTGGCTTAGCTTTGCCCTTCTGATCTTTAGGCAAGCTTTATTTATTAAAACATAAAAGAAAAACTATACAGTAAGTACAGTAACTATATAGAATATATATATATATATATATATATATATATATATATATAGGCAATACATCTAATCCATTTGCACTTGACAAATTCAGAGAAAGTATTCAGTATCCTATCTTTGCTGAGTCCAAAGTCTTGTACCCATTTACTTTTTATCATAACTTGGTTTCTACATCTGGTAAACAAAGAAAATGATAACTATCTAGTCTTCAATTCCCTCGGAGATCCAAGAAAGAAATAATATTAGCCGAGTAAGCAGGAAGTGTGAGCAAGCAACTTAAGAAAAAATGTGAGTAATGACAGAAACAGCTGGCTGCCTGGATCCAAAGTTCCTCTGCAACGTTGGGGCATCTGTCTTCAGCCTACCAGCCTAGAATATCCAACAGACTTTTCTGTGAAACAGGATATTCTGAGGGGGCTATCTCACCTTGTCTTGACAATGCTTGGCAGTCACTTTCTTTTGTGTCCTGCTTGTCCAATTAGGACAGCATACTGTCCGCAGTTGGGGCAAGGACATTTTCTTGCCCAGTGACTTACTTTTACCACAAAAGAAAGTAAACTCCTGTTGAAGGAGCTGCAGGGCTGCGTTCCTGCCACCCAGCTCCCGGCCACCTGGCTAGCTTATGCCCCAAAATAACAACACACAAACTGTATTCATATAAATACTGCTTGGCCCATTTCTATTAATGTGTGTAGCACCACGAGGTGTGCTTACCAGGAAGATTCTAGCCTACGTCCATCCTGGGTTGGAGCTTCATCGCGTCTGCCCTGGAGAGGAGCTGTATGGCATCTGAGCTCACTTTCCTCTTCTTCCCAGCATTCTGTTCTGTTTACTCCACCCACCTATGTTCTAACCTATCAAGCCAAGCAGTTTCTTTATTGATTAACCAATGAAATCAACAGATTGCTATGACACTCCCACATCAAACTCCAAATGGAATTTCTTTGGTACCCATTATCTTCTCTGAAGTAGGCTGGTGCTGCCAGGAGCAGATGTCTCATTGTCATAAAAAAGAACCTAGGTTATTAAAATATCTTAAATGCCTTATTCTGTAGATCTCTTAAGTGTTTGAAGATGACCTGTCTATCTAAAATATATCTTTGTTTGTCCTTGAAAACATACCTAATGTAATTATAAGTTCTATTGTACTAGGTGATTAACTACAAACCTTTATTTCTTTATTACCTCGAACAGTTGGTAATAATAATTTTCAAGGACTAGAAATTTTGCATTGCATCATTGAATGGGTTATAAACTAGGAGTTTCTTTTTTTTTAAAGTAGATTCGACAATCTACCTTTTTGTCTTAATCTACCCTTTTATCCAGTCATATCCATATCCCCCTTTTTTCTTTTCAAAGCAAGAGCCTTGAATCTAATTTTCTTTGTTTAGCTTTTTTCTGACCATTACCCCAATAATAACTTGTAACTAGCCTCCCTAAACAATGACAAATACCTATAATCCATTGAATGACCAAAAACCACCTACCCCACCTCTTGGGAGTATGTGGACATCATGTTCTTAAATTTACTTCCTACTGTCTGGGGGCAATGGTATCTTTAGGGGATCCTGAAAAGAAAAATGTGGGTTAATTGTCAAGTCCTGGGAGAGGTAGCTGTATTATTTTTTTGTCCAGTCTTTGCATAATGGGAAAATGTAGGGTGTGTCTCGAGTCCTGGCTAGAGTAGTCTGTTAAGCTGAGTCATGACTCAGCTAGCCACCTCAGATTATTCTGAGCAGTTTGTAGTTCAAAGGCAGTTCTTAGGTGTTTTTAGCTCAGTGGTGTTATCGTAGTCAGAGAGGAGCCATCGTGGGGCCCCATCCTCCTTATGGAGACTTCAGAGGTAGTTTAGATAAAGGGTGTGTGTCACCTCTGCCCCCCAGTTCCCTTTTCTACAGCTCTTCTTAAAACCCTTTTGTCCACTGTTGTTACAGTGCCTACAGTGCACCATTTGGTGTCCTTACGTCTTGTTCCTTATTTCTCTTTTCTGTTACCAGCTAAGAAATGTGCTTGCCATGTTCAGTAGAAAAGCTGTGTCTTCTGGACCTGTCGTTTATGCTGCCATGCTTCTAGAAAGCTGTGCTTTCCCTTCCTATCTTTACTTCCTGGGCAAAATAGTAGCTCTCTGTAGCATTCCCAAGTGTCAGTGGAACCAAAGGTTTTCCCATTAAAAACTGACATTATATTAAACTATTGTTCAATTGAAAAATCAATTCATTGTTCATTGAAAAATCAATCTAAGTAAATTTTTCTTTAAAAAAAAAAAAAGTACAAAGAACCCTGTCTCTAAGTACACAGCAAATCCTGTGGTCCAGGTTGGGGTTAGATCCACAGTTCAAGAACTTTGACTCGGGGCTGGAGAGATGGCTCAGTGGTTAAGAGCATTGCCTGCTCTTCCAAAAGTCCTGAGTTCAATTCCCGGCAACCACATGGTGGCTCACAACCATCTGTAAAGAGGTCTGGTGCCCTCTTCTGGCCTGCAGACATGCACACAGACAGAATATTGTATATATAATAAATAAATATTTAAAAAAAAAAAAAGAACTTTGACTCAGGGCTGGGCCATGGTGCATACCTTTAATCCCAGCACTCGGGAGACAGAGGCAGACAGATCTGCTAAGTTTGAGGCCAGCCTAGTCTTCAGAAGAAGTTCCAAGGTGGCCAGTGCTACACAGAATCCCTGTCTCAAAACAAACAAACAAACAACAACAATTTTGTTCAGCGTATGGCACTAGCCATGAAAGAGCTGGTCTGCTATCCAAAGGCAGCAGGAGCTCCTGTGTTGAACAGTTTTTATAGTTTACTCTGGTAGGCTGAAGGGGTGGGTGGGGTCGCTGTTTCCTTGTGACTGTGAAGATGCCCTGTCCTGATGGCTGATATCCTCCTGCCATCTCCTTCCGTAGACATGGGAGACAGCATACCATCATGCCCTCGAAAGTCAACTACCAGGCCAACATCTGGGCTTTGAAGGAAGAGGGTTGTACACATGTCATAGTGACCACAGCTTGCGGGTCCTTGAGAGAGGAGATCCAGCCTGGTGACATGGTCATCGTTGATCAGTTCATTGACAGGTAAGGGGTAAGTGGCCTTGTAGTTCTCCGTTTCCAGCTGTGTGGGATGATGTGGGGGCACCATGGGGAGTGGGGCAAGCAGGACGTAGAATCGCTGTAAGCTTTCCATTGTAGGCTTGTATTTTTTTTTAACTGAACTGACAAATAGTAATTATGAACATAATTGATATATGTGGGCATTGCATGGTGATTTATATGTATATGTTCACCTATCGCCTCACAGATCAGTTTGGATGCAAACTGAAGGGGCGTGGTCGATCGGTATTTAGAATTAACCAGACCAGTTTAATATAATAGATTCAGCTTTTAATAAACAGAAGAAAGGAAACTTACAAACCCAGCGATCCAGGAGCGCAGGGAACAAAAGAGAGGAAGAGGCAAGCGCACCTGGATATTTTTACCTGTTTTTCGGTGGCCCCAGGGGGACACACCCTAAACAGAATGTGATTGGCTGAAGTTCCCCATCAGCAAACATTGATTTTCAGTATATAATAGATACACCACATCACCAAGCCATACAAGAGAGCTCAGAGACTTACTCTTTCTGCTTAACCAAAATTTGATATCCTTTGGCCAGTTGTCTCCCAAGCGTCTGGTAAATGCACTTCCTCCGCTTCTGGGTCTGTGGTTTAGATTGCACTGGGAGGTCGTGCATTATCTTCCAGTGGCTTGCTTATTTTGCCACACAAAACCTCTCCAGAGTCACTCATCTTGCTGCAAATGTTCATTGTCTTCTTTATGGTTGGCAATTGTCGGTTGTCAGTACATCACATTTTCCCCAATCTGTGGGTAGGCATCAGGGTAGGTTCTGTGACTTGGCTATAGCCAGTAGTAAAACTAGGTGTGAACGAGTCTCTGTAATACGCTGATGGAGACACGAGGTGTATGCCAAAGGCCGGGTAGGACTAATGAGTCCTGGCCTTCGGCTGGATGTTGGGATTAATGAGTCCTGACCTTCAGCTGCTCTCCCCTCCTAGAACCTTCTAATTAAAGTTACTAGAAGCTGTGCCTAGCTTAGAGGATCAGAGGATGGAATTTTCACCTGTTGGCCATTGACTGCAGTGTATTTAAGCCTACATGGTGCTAATAAAGGGGGGCTTTTGGTATCAGTGTTCAAAGGTCTGCGTGTCTGTCGGTCTGTCTCTGCATGAGTATTCTCAACCTCCAGCCCCTTGCCCGAAGCTCGCGAACTGGGGTCTAGTGCATAGAGCGCAGACAGGGCCGCGGTGCACGGCAGGGTAGGTCTTGCTGCTGGGTAGGTCTCCAGGCCGATTTTCTCACGGGCTGGACTAATTTACAGTCTCACCAACAGCTAGCGAGGGCTTATTGTCTTCCTTCTGTGTTGCTGCCGACCTCGTTACCTGCTTTCTTGAAGAGAGCCATTCTGATTAAGGAAAGATGGAATCTCACTGCGCTTTTGATTGACGTTTCCCTAATGGCTAAAGATGTTGAACATGTGTTTATTAGTTGTTTCTACTTCAGAGAAGACTCCGAGCAGTTTGCTTTCCCATTTATGGATTGGATTGTTTATGATTTTGATTTCTTTTTTTAGTTCTTTATATATTTTAAGTTTCAATTCCTTCCATGATCCCTGGTTGTTGAAAAGTACGTTCCATCTCTGTATGTATTGTTTCTGCGTTTTCTCTTCTTGGTTTATAGTATTATTTTCCCGTTATGAGCCGATAAGATACAAAGAATTAGTTCACTTTCTTGGTACTTGGGGAACAGTTGCTCTGTGGTTTGAAATGTGGTTCTTGGGGTGACAATTCTGGGAAGAATTCCTCAGCTCTTGGGTCAGATGTCCTGCAGTTCCTTATAAAGTCTGTTTGAGCCCTAGCATAATCAATCCTGAAGTTTCTTTGTAGATTTTTTTTTCAGGGTCGGGGGCCTGGACGATGTCTGTTGATGAAACTGTTCGCACCGTCTGCTGTTTGTGTATCTGGATTGACCTGTTGTTTATGTCCAGTATGAGGTTGGCTGTACCCACACTCAATGCTTACTTAACCTATTCATGGTCATCCAAGTTTTCTTCTTGGGTTGTGTCTTTCGTCAGTATGTGGTGAGCTTCTGGTAGACATTCCATCCTCTGCCTCCGAGTCTGCATCATAGACTTCGTGTGAGTTCCTGCCACCGTCTTTCTGTGTCTAACTTATTTTACATCACAGACTTCCTCCGGGGTCATTCATTTTGTCACAGTGATATTTGTCTTTGTCATCTATTTCGTGTTTATTGCCTGTTGGCAAAGACACGTCTGCTTGTTCGAGTTCTCCGTGGGCGGTCCTCCGCAGTGCTCAGTGTCTAGTTTGAGTCACATACACGCCTTTGTTTTTCTATCCTTGACATGGGTTTTTTGTTTTTTTGTTTTTTTGCCCCTGACTCAAACTAGACACTGAGCACTGCGTAGGACTGCAGATCAAAGAAGTCATACTGTTCCTTGCTGAGGAGGTGAGGTCTTTCTGGGTTTGGGGCAGAGGGGGAAGGTTTAGATTGTGTGGGAGATGTGGAGGCTGAGTTTACTCCACCTTTGTCTATCAGAACTGAGGACTTCTGTTCATGCCAGCAGCCTTGGCATGTGGACCCTGGGAGGTAGGCTGCAGTCCACTGCTCGCCACAAGTGTGGGCCGCTCAGTTCACCCTTCACATTCAAGGCCTAACCCTTTCTAGTGTACCTGTGTGTGAGAGAAACCAGTGCCAGCAAGGCATTGAATGCTTTGCCAACCCTGGGCACACCAGTCTCAACCCTAATGCACGTGTGAGTCTTTACACGGTTCATCTCAGGCCTCCAAGATCCAGCACTGCTTTTGAATAGAATTGCTTCCTGCTTTCCTGTGCAGTGCACATCGTCGTGTTAGGGGGTGTTATTTTACCATGGAGTCTCATTTTATATTGCTTATATATTAGTGGTTAAAATTATAGATATTGAACTTGTACACCTTCAAACTTCTGCAAGTCACATCTGGTTTCCCGGACCTATACACTTTCAGAGGCTGCACATCTGCTGAATCAATAAAAGAAAGCATAGGAGCTTGAGGTATAAAATGCAGGCGCTTTTGGTGTGCCCAGCCATGAAGACAGGAGCCTCCTCTTAGGGTGTCTCCCCGTTGTGACAGCTCTGACTATGCTGGGAAGAGCTGACGACCCTCCAGTTCCTCCTTGCAGTGCAGAGCACAGGTGGCCTGCCTGACACTGTATTGTGGCCAGGTTCTAGAATCCACCCCTTGCAGCTCCCACCATCTTCCCTTCTGAAGACCCCCACCTCTCTTCCTCCCATGCAGCCACACTCTTTGATACCAGGCTCCTGGTTTCTCTTACAGTTTTAAAATCCAGTATTTGGGGGTTGCATGTGGTCCCCAACTCTACCGCTGTATTGCTGTGCCTCTCTATAACACCATACTTCTTGGAGTTTTCATGTCAACCCAGTGAAAGTGCTGGGAAATACTTAAAGTCTTTAATAACGGCTCTCCAGTCTCTGCAATCATTTGTTAAGAAAGTGGAATACTGGAAAAAAAAGAGTCTAGTGAACATCAGAGACTGATTTACAGTGAAATCTCAAGTGGTTAAAATTTTAGGTATATAAAGTTTGATAAGGCTTTCTTTTCTTTTTATGTGGCCACGGAAATTTCAGAATTAATATGAGACTCACATCTGACTTCTAGGAACCATTCACACCCATACCCTCAATTTGTCAGAACTACCTGGTGGGTATGGGCCAGAGCTTGCTCAGGGCAAGGGAAGAATCAGGAACTTGACTTGGACTTCACTGTCAAGCATGGGAAATAAGGAGGTAGTAGGTTTCTTTGATATTAAAGTTCTAGACAAACGTTTTGCTTTCTATGATCACCTTAGTGACAACTGAAGGATGCTTGTCTTCCCTGTAAATGCCTGAAGCACCTCTCGGATCTGATAGGAGCCTGGACTGACCGCCCAACCCAGGCACACTCCAGCTCTCCTGCTCTCACGACTCCCCTTCTCTCCTCCCAGATTTTCAACTCTGTTGGTTAAAATGTTGTCTGTGAGGGTGAGAAAGGAGTTTTGGAAAAGAATGACCTCTTCTTCTGACGAGGGCTCCTAACCTGTCAGTGTCTGCCAAGGATGTATGTTTTCTTATTAGAGCAGAAATCTAATGCTTTTAAGAGGGACTCACAGTGAGTCAACCTCACATCCTCGCGTCCAAGTCCTTTGATGCATACATGGCACGAGTCTTGTGAAATGTTCCTCATAAACCAAAGCCTGGAAACAGGATTCATATAGATCATATTAAGAACCCATACAAGTCTTTTTCCCGGTAGGTCGCCATGGTGACAGCTTCCTGCTGTCTTCAGTTTGATGAATCCATTTCTTCTGCCAACAAGTGTTTAGACCATTGAAAACAGTACAGTTCAAGCTAGGATTTGTTCTACTTCTTTTTCTTCTTCTTCTTCTTCTTCTTCTTCTTCTTCTTCTCTCTCTCTCTCTCTCTCTCTCTCTGTCTCTCTCTCTCTCTCTCTTTCTTTCTTTCTCAGAACATTTAACTGTATCTGGTTCCCTTCAGGTCATCAAAGACATTTGACTATATTAGCCAATACCAAAAGTTGAGGTTGGGCTTTTCTACTCATGGCTCCCATGATTTCTATTGTAAGTTTTTCTCGCCAGGCCTCTTCTTGTTTAGCCATCTTCACACTGGTGGTCTTGGTTTTTAACATCTGGTTCTGCCCTGAGCGTGCCTAGCTTATAATCTGTTCTAGATGGTAGGTTTTTAGGGAGTTGATCAAGAACATCAGAGGTATTGTGTGCACTATTGGTAGCCTGTCTCTTGGATTGGTGCATGTAGCCAGTCCCACCATGGTCTTTGGCATACCCACTGTGCTGTTTTCTTTTTCTTGATGGTCACTAAACAGTCCATTTGAAAGGGAAAGAATTGGACCTTTTACTTGGTCTAAGAGAATCTTGTCAGGTGTTTCTCTTTTAGAAGGACCTTACAGGGCTTCCACCATTTGTAATTTCAGACTTGTCTCCTATAG